TCTCTCTGTCTCTCGTCTCTGACCTCTTGTCTCTGTGTCTCTAGGTCTCTGTCTCTCTCTTCTCTCTCATTCTACTCTCTCTGTCATCTTCTCTCTGGGCTCTGTCCTCTCTCTCTGCTCTGCTCTCTCTCTTCCTGTCTCTCTCTCTCTCTCTTCTCCCTTCCCTCTATTCTGCTCTGCTCTCTCTTCCTCTTCTCTCTCTTCTGTCTCTCTGTCTCTGTCTCATTGTCTCTGTCTGTGTCTCTCTGTCTCTGTCTCGCTTTTTTTTTTTGTTTTTTTACACAGGGTTTGACAAGGTAAGGATCCCTAACTCATTGACAAGCTATTTACAGGTTAAGGATTCCTAACCTTTATTGGCACTAAGTGCTTCTACCATCATCTCATTTGAAAGCATTTTTATTGTATCTGAGCATACCGTAGGAACAGGATGAAGTTGGAGCCATCTGTGGGCCAGCATTTTCATTTGATCAACTGACTTTATCTCTTTGACATCATTATGCTGTACGAATGTGTTCCTGCACGATCATCCTGGTATTATGATCTCAGATGAGTGATGTCTGGAGAAGGGTACAGCCAGAGTGAATCTGCTTTCTCCCGTCTTGTGGCATAAAAGCTGTTTCACGCTGTCTTCGAGTGGATCTCCAAGTGTGGTACTTAGACATATTGGCCTTCTACATAACAGTAAGGCCACCCACATCCCTCCTGTTGTTTAAGGCTCTCTGAACAGGAGATTATCCAGGATGGTAGGCGAGAGATGAGACGTCTGCTCTGTTCTCTACTCGTCAAGCAGTTCGCAGATGAAGGGGGCAGGCAAACCAAGAATGGAGCATGCTCAAGGTGTGAGCATACTTGTGCCTCGAAACAGAATGTTGCAACCCCTACTGTCAAGGCAGATGCAGATATGCGAAGTGCTGTAAAGCTTCCTTGGCTGCCATTGTTTGCAAATTTTACAAACATGGTTCTCATGTAAGTTTTGGTAGAATTGTCACACCACAGTATCAACTTTTCCAGTTGAACCCCTCACCATTATCCTTACTACTGCACCAGTCATTCTCCCGTCATCTGTACTCTCTCTCTCTTTCTGTCTCCTCTCTCTCTCTCTCTGTCTCCTCTCTCTCTGTCTCTCTCTCTCTCTCTCTCTCTCTCTCTCTCTCTCTCTCTCTCTCTCTCTCTCTCTCTCTCTCTATTTCGCTCCTCTCTTTGTCTTTCTTTATACACAGGGTTTGCACAAGTTAGGATCCTAGTTTTTATCACAAGCTATTTACAGTTAGGGATTCATAACTTTATTACAAGCTAAGAGTGTTACCTACATCAGCTATTTGAAAGCATTTTTATGTTATAACGAACAAGTAGGGAAGGATGAGTGAATCCATCTGTGCCAAGCATTTTCATTTGATCAACTGACATTATCTCATTGACATCATTATGCTGTATGAATGTGTTCCATACTCGAGTCATCCTGGGTATATATGATCTCAGATGGAGTGATGTTCTGGAGAAGGGTACAGCCAGAGTGACTCTCTCTCTGTCTCTCTCTCTCTCTCTCTCTCGTCTCTCTCTCTGTCTCTGTCTCTGTCCTGTCTCTGTTCTGTCTCTCTGTCTGTCTCTCTCTGTCTCTCTCTCTGTCTCCCTCTGTCTCTGTCTCTCTCTCTCTCTCTCTCTTTTTTTTTACACAGGGTTTGACAAGGTTAAGGATCCCTATCTTCATTGACAAGCTATTTACAGGTTAAGGATTCCTAACTGTATTGGCAAGCTAAGAGCTGTTACCTACATCAGCTCACTTGAAAGCATTTTTATTGTTATGAGACATACAAGTAGGAATCAGGATGAAATGACCATCTCTGTCTGTCTGTCTGTCTGTCTCCTCTCTCTCTCTCTCTCTCTCTCTCTCTCTCTCTCTGTCTCTCTCTCTCTCTGTCTCTCTCTCTCTCTCTCTCTCTCTCTCTGTCTCTCTCTCTCTGTCTCTCTCTCTCTCTGTCTCTGTCTCTCTCTCTGGTTTTGCATTCCTCTTGTTGCAAAGTGCCCCACCCATTTTTATCACTTTGCTCTGTTTATCCTTTGCAGGGTATTCTGGGACCAAAGAAGGAGTTATGGGATCTATTTCAAATGGTTGAAAAGTGGAGTTATGAAGCTCAGGACATCACTGCCAGTGTGAGAGACCTACCCACTGTCAAGTAGGTTTTAATATTTATTGATAGGTTTTGTCTTCCATAGTTATGTTTACCATGGTATGTATTGTATCTCTGTAAATTACAGTGGACCCCCGGTTATCGGCCAACTCAGTGATCGGCCGTTTTTTCGGCGCCCGGTTATCGGCCATTAATTCGGTGATCGGCTGTTTGGGACACAACTGTCCACTGGTTGGGACCGCTTGCACGTCAGTCTGGCTTTGTGTCTCGGTGTGTGAGGAACCTTTTACTCATACATCCCAACATTTTGCTTGTTTTCCATTGTTTTTAGTGTTTTTTTTTTTTTGCAATGCAACTGTGAAATAAGCAACCATGGCTCCAAAGAAAGTTCCGAGTAAAGTTCCTGTGGTAAAGAAAGTGAGAAACACCATGGAATTTAAGCATGAAGTGTAGCAGACATGCAGGGATTGTAGCAGGGATGCAGTGAATTTAGCAGGCATGCTGGGAATGTAGCAGGCATGCAGGGAGTGTAGCAGACATGCAGGCAGTGTAGCAGACATGCAGGCAGTGTAGCAGGCATGCAGGCAGTGTAGCAGGCATGCAGGCAGTGTAGCAGGCATGCAGGCAGTGTAGCAGGCATGAAGGCAGTGTAGCAAGCATGCAGGCAGTGTAGCAGGGATGCAGGCAGTGTAGCATGCATGCAAGCAGTGTAGCAGGCATGCAGGCAGTGTAGCAGGGATGCAGGCAGTGTAGCATGCATGCAAGCAGTGTAGCAGGCATGCAGGCAGTGTAGCAGGCATGCAGGCAGTGTAGTAGGCACGTAGGGAATGTAGCAGGCATGCCGGCAGTATAGTAGGCATGCAGGGAGTGTAGCAGGCATGCAGGGAGTGTAGCAGGCATGCAGGGAGTGTAGCAGGCATGCAGGGAGTGTAGCAGGCATGCAGGGAGTGTAGCAGGCATGCAGGGAGTGTAACAGGCATCAGAGCAGCATTAGTCTTCATAAAGGTTGAACATTCTAATGTTAAAAAAATTATCTTTTTGTGAATTTTGTCTGGAAAGATTGATTGGATTCATTAATTCTTATGGGTAATATAATTTTGGTTTTCGGCCAGTTCGGATTACAGCTGATAACTTAGGGTCCACTGTATTTTAATTGCTAGGTCATTCCACATATTCAAGTGTAAATGTATTTTCATAAGGTACACAATATTTGCAACTGTTTCACTTAATTTTTTATAGTAATTGTTAGTAAATCATAAATTTTTTTTACACTGGCCATTTTCCATCTTGCTGGGTCCCCCCCTAAAAAAATAGGGGGAAATTACATTAATTGTTCCTCAGTCTCAGCGTTTTTCGGAGTGCATAGGAATATCATAGTTTCATGAGCCTCCAGTCCGAGTATCCCACTAATCTTTCAAACTAGTGAGTACCATTAATAGTGTTTAATATAGGGTTAGATAGATATATAAATAAAAACTGATGTACACAAGGGTAACTAACAGCAGTATCCTTGGTGTGACCCAATCCTTCCTTGGTGTGCTCCTCTCCTTTCTTTGGTATGGCACTACTCCTCGGGGGAAATATTATTCTAAAGTTTATCATTTTCATGTTTGAATATTTTATAGCAAAAAGTGGACAGACTGATTATTAAATAGATCCAAACTTCTGAGACAGCAGTACTTGCACCAATCACTAACATAAACCATCTGTGCATTATGGGTTTGTAAATTCATTTCAACAATAGCTTTTAATTGTAGAATTGTAATGACTGATGGAAATCCTGATACCATGTTTAAGCAGAGAGGTGGGATGTGCAGTTCAGAGATGTCAGAACTTTTATGTCAGCATGCTTCTGGCAAGTACATAATTAAAGTAATGGTGAAAGTTTTTTTTTTTTTTGGGGGGGGGGGTTACCCTTCCTCAGTGGGTGATGGTGGGTGTTTAGAAAAAAAAACTTCATATAAGCAACTTCATATAGCATGATTTTGCTGCATCATGATTTAACCCTTTCAGGGTTTTCGACGTACTAGTACGGCTTACACACCAGGGTTATTGATGTACTAGAACGCCTAAATTCTAGCGAGAGAAAGCTGGTAGGCCTACACATGAAAGAATGGGTCTATGTGGTCAATGTGCGCAGTATAAAAAAAAATCCTGCAGCACACAGTGCGTAATGAGAAAAAAAAAATTGTGTTTTTGGATTAAAACAGTGACTTTGCACTGTATTTTCCTATGGTATTTATGGTTGTATTCTAGTTTTCCTGGTCTCATTTTATAGAATTGAAGACATATTACAGAAATTGAGATAATTTTGATTGGTTTTACAATGAAAAGTACCTTGAAATTGAGCTCAAAGTAGCAGAAATGTTCGATTTTTACCAAAGTTCAAAAGTAAACAAATCATGCTACACGTCCAATACACGTCAACTGGTGAGTCTAATATTCTTTCACAAGTGCACCGATATTATTTATACCATTTCTACACTAATGCAGTAGTCTGCATAACGGTAAATCTTATATTTTTTGTGAGAATAAAAATTCAAAGTGGAAAGCAAAAGAAATATAAGAGGGGCCTGAGGACATGACTAACGAACAGAGAACTTGTTATTTTACTGCCAGGAATGTCTTTCTTGTTTATTCTGGACCCTATTTGGAAATTGGCATCTTCTGAAATTTGTGTGAAATTGGCAAAATTGCCAATTTCTAACCCTTTATTGGATAGCTGAAATGGTAAATGGGTGGTTTCTTGTGCTCATTTGATATAAAAAAATGGAGTTCTAGCGAAATAAAATATGATTTTTGTCGACTAGCACACAAGAATTGGCTGAAAATAGGGCTCAGAGTGGGCGAAATCGCAAGAGCACAATTCTGTAAGTTTTCCATCAAATTTCATACTTTTGGTGTCATTATGATTGGGAAAAGATTCTCTATCATTTCATAATAATTTTTTTTTTTTTTCCAAAAAATTTTGACCCTGAGAAAGGGTTAAAAAGTTGTAGTCAAAAAGTCAGAGCAGATCATGTCCAATAGAGTGTTTTTCCTTAAATAGCTAGCTAATGCTTTCCAAAATTTACATAACTTATAAATGCATAATTTTTATATAAGGCCTGTATAAAAATGTTTGAAAGGAATATTTAGTATATTACTGTGCAGTACATTTATATCAAGGATCTACTAAGGTTCAGTATCATACATTATCAAAATTACATTATAATACTTTTTTACAATGAGGTATCATCTGTAGCTATATTCAGCAATTGTTGACCATGCTGATGATTGATGATAAGTGAAAAAGTATTTAAACAAGAAAGTTGTTTTGCATCACACCTGCTCAAACACGTCGTATAATCTAGAGATTATCCTGCACCATGCTAGATAAGCCAAAGAAGTGTATATTTGGCTGTCTAATAAAGTGAGGGAAGATGTAATGTACTGGCAAGTTTTTTACTATCTGCTACCCCCTATTCATGTATATTATCAACATATTAACATGGCTCTGGCTTTGCTTGGGCCAAAGTGTGTGGTGTAGCATCTCTTTACTTCTGTACTGAACACAACATTGTTGGCCACTCAGGCATAGATCATTGGATATAAAAGCTGCACAGACAATTCATATATGTATTAAAGAGTTTGATGTAGAACTGTTAATCACGAAATTTTGCTGGGATCCGGAATCAGGATCAACAGCTGTCTCCACTTCTGGACACAACCTCCTACACCATTTTTATTACAGTATTACTTTATTTTTTACAAGTGCATACACCCTTTGGTATAAATGTGGTGAGTTCCTGTTTATTTAGTACATTTTGATAAGGATGTGTCAACTGATTAACCTTACTATCAAAAATTCTGCCCAGTAGGCCCACTTGTAAAAAGCTTTCAAGTAATGACAGACTGTGCAGGGTAAGTTATACTACAGTAATTTTTAATTAGTATACAGTAAGGCCCCGCTTTATGGCGTTTCGCCTTACGGCATTCCGCTAATACAGCGATGTCAAATTATGACCAAAATTTGCTATACGGCAAGCGGTCCTTTAAATACGGCTCCCCCCACCCGGTTTGTTTACATTTTCCGTGACCACATCTATTATGTCAGGAAACTTTCCAAAATTTAAAGTGTTTTAAAGTTACTGCATATTTTATATGTATACTCTGATAATTATACTTATGTGTACCTGTACTTAAATATACTTACACACTGTGCTGGTGTGCAGGTACACATTAAAATCGCTAAGTCTCTCTCTACTCATGACGCCAATACTACGTAATAATAATCACTCTTGGGCACACTAAATGTCTTATTTTACATCAATATAGGAATTTTCATTAATCCATCTATGATATTTTCCTCAAAATTATATATGAAACCCATTACATAGCATATAAACATGATACATACACTCAGAATAAAAATTGATGTAAATATGAGATTTGTTTACAAAGCAGCTGTGTAGGTAGTGTCGGAAGAATTACGTTTTCTCTAGTCTAACACTGGGGGGTAACTTTAGAAAAATATTCTTTTCGTATGCCTTTACTCTATGTATAGCAATTCACGACCCTTGTGGGTTTAGTGCTTTTATAATAAAATATAATTATATTATTAATATTATAATAATAATAATAATAATAATATTATTATTATATATTATTATTATTAATTTATTATTATTATATTATTATTATTATTATTATTATTATTATTATTATTATTATATATTATTAATACAGTGGACCCCCGCATAACGATCACCTCCAAATGCGACCAATTATGTAAGTGTATTTATGTAAAGTGCGTTTGTACGTGTATGTTTGGGGGTCTGAAATGGACTAATCTACTTCACAATATTCCTTATGGGAACAAATTCGGTCAGTACTAGCACCTGAACATACTTCTGGAGTGAAAAAATATCGTTAACCGGGGGTCCACTGTATTATTATCTTCATTCACTCTAAAAATGGTGTGTTGCTGTTTGTTTATTCTGAACTAACTTGTACACTTGTACACATGTAAGAGTATTTGTATTGTGAGGTAATTATTATTAAAATAAAAAAATATTGAGGTAAATGTTTTACAAACTCTTACAAATGGACGTGAATGAACTAAAAGTAGACACATATTAATACGCATTTAGCCTGACCAAGTGATCGTCCACTACCTGTTCAGTTTGTGTTCTTACATTGTCTCAACTCTGTATCTTGTTCTCTCTCTCGTTTACTCTTTTGTTAACTAGTTGGCTCTCATTGACGATGGCGTCTAAGGTTAGCTGTAATAAAAAGAGAAGTCATAAGCCTCTTGCTTTAAGTGCCAAGTTAGAGGATGATGGTGTGCCATTTTGATTTTATTCAATAAACACCCTGCCACTCACCTCTCACACATTAATATTAATATTTTAAGGTAAGTAATAAGTGTACTCTGTGTGTATCTTACCTTTTATTGTGTTTTTAATGCCTATTTCTATTGCTAATTTAATATAAGTTAGTGTAAACTTGTTGTCTGGCATTTATTGCATATTTTATATGCTCTGATAATAATACTTGTGGAGCCGGGTGGAGGGACAACATTACATTTTCTCTGTTCAGCCATCAGAGAAAACGTGTATGAATCTGCGTTTGGCCCAGCCACTCCCCCACTCCGCTTTTGTTTACAATTTTCGGCATGAATTATTCATTACTTCTACCTTCGTTTATGATGGCATCTAAAGGTAGTTGTTAGAAATGATTAAATTCAGTGAACAAGGCATGTCAGTGTTAATAATATGGCTCTGGGCCACAGTGTAGGTAGCCGGTAGGTGTAGCCCAGGCTACACCTACCAGCTACCTACACTGACTTTATACAAATAAATACTACTCACCTCTCTTCCTATATTAAGACTACACATATTTTAAGGTAAATAATGAGTGTACTGTATATGCATTTTACCTCTCTGGGATATTTTAAATATCGTATACAGTGAACCCCCGGTATTCGATATTAATCCGTTCCTGAGAGCTCATCGAATACCGATAATATCGAAAACTGAATCAATTTTCCTCATGTGAAATAATGGAAATCAAATTAATCCGTGCAAGACACCCAAAAGTATGAAAAAAAAATTTTTTTACTACATGAAATATTAAGTTTAATGCAATAGCATAATTACAATAACAACAAAATAATTGACACTTACCTTTAATGAAGATCTGGTGATGATTGATGGGATGGGAGGAGGGGAGAGGTGTTAGTGTTTCAAAGGGGAATCCCCTTCCATTAGGACTTGAGGTAGCAAGTCCTTTTCCGGGGTTACTTCCCTTCTTCTTTTAATGCCACTAGGACCAGCTTGAGAGTCACTGGACTTCTGTCGCACAACATAACTGGCAGCCTCACCATGCCTAATCACACTATGTATGCCACTACGATTCTTAAATCTTTCAAACCAACCTTTGCTGGCCTTAAATTCACTCACATCACCACTAGTTGCAGGCAATTTCTTTACCAAATTGTCATGCAACTGCCTAGCCTTTTCACAAATGATCGCTTGAGAGATGCTATCTCCTGCTATCTGTTTTTCATTTATCCACACCAGTAACAATCTCTCAACATTTTCTAACACTTGCGGTCGCTGTTTCGTAATCACAGTTGCACCTTTTGCAAGAACAGCTTCCTTGATTGCCGTTTTCCTGGTCACTATAGTAGAGATGGTTGATTGGGGTTTATTATACAACCTGACCAGCACAGACACACGCACTCCACTTTCGTACTTTGCAATTATCTCTTTCTTCATTTCATAAGTCATTAGCGACTTTTTTCTCGAAGGGTTGGCACTAGAAGCTTTCTTGGGGCCCATGGTGACTTATTTTGCAGAAACAAGCACCAAACACAGTGATAATATGGATAATATGGAATGTACCGAATGTATCCTTAGATGCACGCACACTGGCTGGCTTGTAAACACTAGCATACACGAAGCAGTTCAGGCCACACGTGGACAGGTCTCGTACGAATTGTATCGAATACCGGGTTTTCAATTGAATACCGAGGAAAATTTTTTGCGTTAAATGCATCGAAAACCGGATTTATCGAATACCGATGCCATCGAATACCGGGGGTCCAATGTATTAAGTATGAGACGGGGAGCCAGTGCTACCTACACCTGGGCTACCTGCACCTGATTTCCTACAAATAAGTACTACTCGCCTCTCTCCCTACATTAAGATTACAAATACTTTAAGATAAGTAATGAATTTACTGTGACTATTTTACTTTGTGTGTTTTTAATGCCTAGTTCTATTACTAACTTAATATAATTTAGTGTAAACTTGTTGTCTGGCATTTATATGCATTTAAAAATTGAAAAAATGGAGTTCTGCCTTCTGGCGATGTCTGCTTTCCGGCGACAGCCTGGAGCCTAACCCGCCGTATAAGTGGGGCCCTACTGTACCAGTAAAAACTGCAGGTTTGGGGGTGTCCGGAATTTAACCCTATTTTTTCCCATTTGGTCTTGACTTCACTTGCTCTATTTTTCATAGCACGTTTATTTTCAGGAACGTAACCCTCAGCTTATGAGAGGGTTTAGTGCATGTATAGTACCATCTCAGGCTATGTGATTGATCTACTTACGTACTTTAAATGATGTAATTTGCTTGAAGTTGTGTAATGAGAGTAAACAGCATATTATTTTTACAGAACTCATATTGGAAGAGCACGTGCTTGGCTTCGATTAGCATTAATGCAGAAGAAACTTGCTGACTATTTTCGGCTGTTGATTGAGAGGAGGGACGACTTGCTGACAGAATTCTACGAAAGTGGTGCCCTGATGCTTGCAGATGAGGCAATTGTCATTATGGGCCTTCTAGTAGGCCTAAATGTCATTGATTGCAATTTATGTGTTAAGGTTAGTGGTTGGTTGTGTGTTGCAATAAAAACTCTTGATTGAGATTTTGCACAATTTTAACATCTTTTTATATAAATCAGAACTTGAACAGCTAGTTGAAAATCTGTTGAATATATAATTTAAAACATTATAATTTAACTATACTGAATTCATTTACAGTCAAGATAACATGTTGGTTGTATCAGTTATAGTCATCTTACTGCATATCCATATACACCAAGAGCTTGAATTTTTTGTTTTAAACAGGGTAATTATTCTGTGTGCAATAAGACACAAAAAAAATTTAGAGCCAGTACTTGTCTAGATAAAAGGTGGTGAAGTTGGCACTGGAAGCTCACCTGACGCCAACATGGAGTCCTGCGGCTTGCAGAAGTGTTGCCGATTTAACTTTTTTTTTTTTCTTTTTTTATTTACGTAGTTATTGTTTTCCATGAAGAAGTGGAGCAGAATTCTTCCTCCGTAAGCCATGCATGTCTTAAGAGTCGACTAAAATTCCGGGAACAAGGGGCTAGTAACTCCTTCTCCTACATGCATTACTAAAATTAAAAAGAGAAACTTTTGTTTTTCTTTTTGGGACACCCTGCTTCGGTGGGATATGGCCAGTTTGTTGAAAGAAGAAAGAAGAAGTTTTTATGTTCTAATAATTACAGTTTATAGTAGATCTTCTGATACCATAGCTAATCTTTGTTCTTACACAAAAGCAGAAAATAAGAAAAAGTTTTGGAGTGAGATAAACAAGTTAAGAAAGCCTAGGGAAAGAATGTATTTGTCGATTAAAAACTGAGTAGGGGAGTTAGTTGATGGGGAGCTGGATTTATTGGGTAGATGGTGGGAACATTTTGAGGAACTTTTAAATACAGTGGACCCCCGGTTAACGATTTTAATCCGTGCAAGAGGGCTCATCGTTATGCGAAATAATCGTTATGCGAATGAATTTTCCCCATAAGAAATAATGGAAATAAAATTAATCCGTGCAAGACGCCCAAAAGTATGAAAAAAATTTTTTTTTACCACATGAAATGTTAATTTTAATACACACAAACTGAAAAAGGCATGCACAATTAAATGACACTTTCTTTTATTTAAGATCTGGTGATGATTTATGGGATGGGGGGGGGGGAGAGAGTGGTTTTTGTGTTTTGAAGGGGAAACCCCTTCCATTTGGACTTGGGTATAAGTCCTTTTCTGGGGGTTTCTTCCCTTCTTCTTTTAAAAGGGCCCCTAGGGCCAGCTTCAATACTGGACTTCTTTCGCAAAGATACTGTCCATAGGGCCTGTACCTCTCGTTCCTTTATGACTTTCCTAAAGGTTTCCAACATTTTCAGGTAATAATCACCCGCACGGCTTGCAATAGCTGTGTGAGGGTGTTTTTCATCCCGAAGGTTTGCACTTCAAGCCACTTTGCACAGTTTCCTAACCTTTTTAATAGGCAACTTCTTTATTCTCCCTTTCCCCCCCCCGAACAATTTCCTCAGGGGGCCTTTGCTCTTGAAGTTGACTAGCACCATCATGGTTAGTTCTTCATTGTCCCCTCCACCAACTCTTCCCATCCTCCCCCTAACCTCCAACCCCAAACTTCCCAATGCCACAAGGGATTCCTCAACTGGCACAGGTTTCCCGGGGTTAGCCTCAAACCCTTCAAATCCCTTTTGTCTACACATTCTGGCCAATTTTTTCCAAGCGAGTTCGGGTCCTCTTTGTCACTTCCCCCCAAACCCTTACCAAAAAGGGTTTTAAAAACAATTGAGGATTTTAAAGTGATTCCCCCCAAAACTCTTTAGAGTCATTTTGGTTTCTAGGTCTTACAAAGAAACCTTTAAAAACAGACTTTTGTGTACTTTTTCTTGAAAGTTTTGGAAATAACCTTTGGGGTCCAGGGGCTGCGGGAGGGAGGGTATTTAGGAGGAAAAAAACTTCCCCTTAATGAAGCTCATGTCCCCTAAAGTCGCTCTGCCAGTCTGAAATGACCGGGGGCATTGTCTAACACCAGAGGCACTTAAGTTCAAATTTTCTTTTCAGTTATAATTTTTCCATTGGGGGGAAAAAGCATGGTGTAACCTTAAAAAAAATTTTCCCCTAGTGACCCATCCCTTTATGTTTGCCCTCCACAGCAACACAAATTTACCCTTTTGGGACATTCTTTTCCCTAAGCTTGGGATTTTCAGAGTGATACACAAATAAAGGCTTCATTTTTGAAATCACCAGTAGCTTGGCACACATCAACAAAGTAAGCCTGTTTTCATAGGTTTATGCCCGGGGGAGTCCCTTTTTTCCTCCAGTTGTAGGCCCTGCTTTTGGCATTTTTTCCCAGAACAGGCCTTTTTCATCACAATTAAACACTTTTTTCAGGTTTCAGTCCTTCATTTCTATGTACTCCTTGAATTCCGAAATATTTTTCACCCGCTTTGTGGTCCAAACTGGCAGCCCCCCAATGCCTTATCAACTATGGATGCCACTACGCTTCTTAAATCTCTCAAACCAACCTTTGCTGGCCTAAATTTTCACTCCATCATCACTAGTTGCAGGCTTTTTTTTAATTAAATCCTCACAACTTCCTAGCCTTTTCACATAACGCTTGAGGGGAACCTATCTCCGCTATCTGTTTTTCTTTTATCCACCCCAAAAAAAGGCCCCTTCAAATCTTCCATCAATTGCGATCTTTTTTCGAAAACACTTTTTAACCTTGGGAAGAACATTTCCTTTTATTGTCTTTTTGGTCCCACAATAGTAGCGATGGGTTTATTGGGGTTCTTGACACTTGAAAATAGGTCGGGTATACGCACCCACTTTTATACTTATCAATTATCTCTTTTTCATCTCTATAAATTCTTACCCTTTAGGTTAGGGTTGGCACAAAGCTTTTGGGCCCATGGTCACTTATTTTCCAAAACGCCCGAAAATACTTTAATAATACGAAATACCGAGTGTATGCTTGGAGTTACCCCCGGAGCTGGCTGGGAAACAATGGGACGGGCGGCACATGTAGGCGGCTAGGGCAAATTGGAGCGTCTCGGACAAAATCGTATGCGGGTTTTTAATCGATGCGGGGGAAAAATTTTGCGATAAAAATAATCGTTACGGAAAAAAACCTATGCTTTCCATCGTTACGGGGGTCCACGTATTGAAAAAAAGAAAGGGGGGTGGTAATTTTCATGATGGCCAGGGAGGTATAACACTTTTAGGGAAAGAAGAAGAGCAAGATGTGTGTGGGGGAGGGCTAGGCATTACATAGAATGAAAGGGGTAAAACAGCTGGGAAATGATGGGATCAAACAAAAGAAAAGCAGGGGGGGGGTATGTGTTGGGCGGTTGGGATTTTTTTTAACCCCTTTTAAGGTTTCGGCCGTATTAGTACGGCTTACGCACCCGGGGTTTTTTCATACAAATACGCCAAATTCTACACCCCTCAAAACTAATGAGAGAAAACTAGTAGGGCCCCATATGAAAGAAGGGGCTATGGTCAGTGTGTGCGGGATAAAAAAAAATCCTCATACACGTGCATAATGAAAAAAAAAATTTTGACCGTGTTTTTTTTTTGGGTTAAAACAGCGACTGTATTTTGTTGGTAAATTTATTGTTGTATTTTTTTTCCCCGGTCTCATTTATAGAAGGGGAGACATATTACAGAAATTGAGATGATTTTGACTGGTTTTACAATGAAAAGTACCTTGAAATTGAGCTCAAAGTACAGGTCCTCCATCACAAATCCGGCATCATTGGGACCTGTAGTGTGAAAGGGTTACGATTTCCGAATTCAAGTGGTTAGGTTAGAATACACTTAATAAAATTAACCAACTTGACTTACACAGTTCATTGGACATTGGCAAAAATCGAACATTTCCGCTGCTTTGAGCTCAATTTCAAGGTACTTTTTGTCATGAAAGCAATCAAAATCATGTCTATTTCTGTAATATATCTTCCATTCTATCAAATGAGTCCAAAAAAATGAGAATACAACCATAAAAACCATATGAAAATATACTGCAAAGAGATGGCTAATGGCTGAGAAGTTAACTCCCTTATTTATCGTCCGTCTTTTTTATTTTTGTTGTACGTTAAGAAGCATCTTTCCATCATACATTGCCCAAATTTCAATGAGATAGCCCAACAAACAACCGAGAAAAAAAAATATTTACCAAAAATCATATATGGCAAGCCCAAGCCAGGTACTGGAAATAAGTCACTTTGTCTGACTTTTCTGGGTTATCCCAGGTTCTCTATACATACACTACTATGTATGATAATCTTTGTAACTGTATTTGTGTATACCTGAATAAACTTATTTACTTCTAGTCTGTCAACTGAGTACAAGAAACTGCCCATTCACTTATTTCAACTATCCAATAAAGTGGTCAGAAATTGGCAATTTGGCCGATTTCACACAAATTTCAGCAGATGCCAATTTCAAAATAGGATCCAGAATAAACAATGCAGACATTCCTGGCACTAAAATAACATTTTCTCTGTTAATTAGTCACGGCTACATGCCCCTCTTATATTACTCTTGCTTTTCATTTGGAATTTTTATTCACAAAAAAATAGAAGATTTGCTGTTAGGCAGACTGCTGCATTATTGTAATAATTGTATAAATAATGTCAACCCATTCTTGACTCCGTATTGAAATTTGGACTGGCAGGCGGACAGGTATTGGACGGTTTGTTTACTCTTGAGCTTCGCTAAAGAATAGAACATTTTCGCTACTGTGAGCGCAATTTCAAGGTACTTTTCGTCATGAAAGCAATCAAAATCATATCTATTTCTGTAATATAGCTTTCATTCTATCAAATGAGACCGAAAAAATGAGAATATAACCATAACAACCATACAAAAATATACCGCTAAGCGACCGCTAATGGCTGAGAAGTAAACTCCGCTATTTATGATCTGATTTCTTTCATTTTTGGTGTACGTGAAGAATTATCTTTCCATCATACATTGCCCAAGTTTGAATAAGATAACCCAACAAACAACTGAGAAAATAATATAATAATAATAATTCT